CTCTCTGATAGCAAAACGCATTTCTGAGTTGTCGAGTCTCTTCTGTTGAATATATTCTAAACGTTATTCGTTGATTTCAATTCAGACTTTGAATAATAGTCTCCACATCTGGATTCAACTCATTCAGAATATTATTAAATCGCTGTTAGAAAAGGTTTTCTGAGTTTTCAGTTTGAAAGGGACTTCAGTCTGTTTTCAGTTTTGTCTGATTGCTAAGAACAGTCGTTAGATCTTTTACTTCCGGAATATTCATCATTCTCATGTCCGTCTAGGCATAGATCAGTTCATTTGCAAAGCCTTGTGCTCACTCATGATCAGCCGACTACATTGATTCAGTTGTCTGTTTGCGATTGATTTCACAAAACTTTTTTAGTGAAAGAAATCCAAGCAAATTCACAGAAAACCAATTGAAACGCTAGAATTTTGAACTGGAAATTGGATTATCCTTAGTGGAAGTCAATTTTCAGATGAGCGTTTCCATGAAATCAACGTGAAATCATTCACTCACCTCTCTTGCGGCCACAATCGGATTCTCGGTGCTTTCGTTGAGAAGACCATTCGAGTAGCGTACTGTCCGTCTGATTCCACAGCAAATCACAACGAAATACTCGGCAAACGACAAGAAGGTTATGATCAAACAGAACAGTAACCACACTTGTATACCACCCCAACCTTCAGCGTTCAGGTACGGTTGTGGATAGAATGCCTTTAAGCATGAGTTGCTTTTGTTTATTGACAGTTGACATGATTTATGCATGATTTATTCAGTCTATCTATCTATCTATCAATCTTCCTCAATCATCAATGAATTTTGACACAATCGGGAATTTGATTGATTGACTATTGCTATGATCTGATCAGAGATTTCTTTGTTCTTGTCACTTGAACGGACGAAATTAGTGAATATGTCTTTATTAACAGTACTGATAATTACGAGGATAAGAGTGATAAAACAAGGACAATGTGAATGTGATTATCATAAGTGATAAGATGATAGTCATTAAGATGATTACCATTAGTGCTGCAAATAGGAAGAACGGCACAGCCGCACTGATCGTTCGCGGAACTGACCAAGTTCCATGAATCCAGAAATGTAACCACGAAGCGAATATCTGAATGCTCGAATTGCTATCATCAACTGCTCATCACTGAGAATATCTTTTCAAGTGTTCAATGTTCAAAGCAAGTGAATGAGGAAGGGAACATTTCAGCACTTAATTGAAAATACCGGTTGTCTTCGCTGAGAAAACCAATAGTACCGTTTGTGGAGTAAGCACAAAAATATGGTTATGGGATAGTGATCATAATGATGGTCATATTGATATTAATGATAATTATTAGCAATTGCATTGAATACGTTCGAGTCAATTATGGAAACAAATGAGATGCTGCTTGCAAAAATCAAGCAAAAACCAACAAGGAAAATAGATGGAATGAATAGCTTGAAGAGTGCTTCACTGGCCGAGCCTGAGAACGTTATGAGTACACTGATACATGAATGCACACCTGCAAAATTTTGCCTGATACAGCAATAATACTAGGATAATAATGGTGATCTATTAATTATTACTTGGATATCGAGTGGTTATTTCGTCAATCGCAGTGAGCGATCAGCGGAATATTTATTTTATCAGAGTAATGATTATTTATTGAATTGGTATTTGACTGCGTTTAATTATGCAAAGCGTTCACGGCGACTAATTATTTGTTCGGTTGGCCTACTCGCCTAGCCAGCGGAGTGGCGTAAGTTGAGTCTAAAACAATGCGCACAGAAACATTGCAAGCATTGTGGCCAGCAACGTTATAAACGTTTGATAGCCTGCTGCTTGCCAATCCAGGTTTTAAAAAATCCAGGTAAATAATGGTGATCCAGATCGGATATTTCACCTATGATAATGTTAATAACTGCCGCGAATTATACCAACTATGAATAGGATCCAAAATATGTTTAATCTTACTCATTGTCAGAATTATAACGATGCCGAAATGATTTGAATAGATCAAATCTCCTAGTAAGAATGAAATTTTGATGAATTCAATTCCTTTTCCGTAACACTCATCTGGACTTCTTGATTCTTGTTTTAGAGGGGATTCGTGTCAGATCTAACGCTAAGATTGTTCAGTGAATGATAGGAATAGACGATAATGGAAACACTGGTTCACTTACCAACAGTATAATTACCGACACAGTCTTCAGCAATGGCTTCGGTGAACTCATAATTTGAAGTAAGCAGCTCTTCAGAAACCTCAACAGGTACGATCGTAGGCGGTGAGTTGGCCCATAAATAGACCACATCCTCGATTGGGTAGTTATCTGTGATGATACTGGTGATAACGATAGCAATAGTGATAGTACGATAGGGTAGTGATGAATTGGATAGTGTAAATGATAACGATTACAATTGATATTTACTATATTTTGTTGTTAAATCTTCACCTCTCATTAATTAAAAAAATATAGGTAAGCGTTGATGAGCTGAGTTGTTCTGAAGGTATTAGGAGCCACCATAATGGTGGGTATATGATGGAAATGAGGGTATTGATAAAAATAATGAAGAACTGAATGATAGTAAGACTTTGTTTTTGATAGTAAGATTTATTATAGTAATGGTATTTAGTATAGTTTTTATAGTATGGTATTATAATATAGTATACTATAAGAATTATAGTATTATAGTAAAGATTTATTATATAGAAAAATTAATGATAGTAAGACTAATGATAGCAGTAATATCGCTCAGAGTAATGACTGTAAAAGTGACAAAAGTGACTTCAATGACCGTAGGTAGCAATTCAATAATGAACTCACAACTTGCGAGTCGCAATTTAATGATTCTCGTATTGATGAAGGGAAACTGTGATCCATATTTTACAGGAACTGTCACTAAGCGCCTATAATTCAACAGAAATATTGAAATACGGCAATATGATACTGAGACAAAGCTCAGAATCAGTGAAATTCTACTTTACTGGGAATGCGATGAGAAATGAGGGAAAAGGTGTTCAAAAGATGGAAACGTCTCGGTTTACTGATAAATGATAGATATGAAGAGTTGAGCTTTTTA